CAGATAAAGGGGAATAGCCTGTTTGGATGTTAAGTGTGTGCTGACCTGTCCAGGTACTGCAGGAGGTCGGTCTCTGGGCCGTCTGGCAGACTGAGGACTTTACGCAGCAGAGGCAGCAGGTGAGCTCCCTCAAACCAGATGTTACCGTTACCTGGCTGAAGACGGGAAGAGTCGAGACATAACTACAACACAAGCTCTGCACTGACACCGTCAGTCACGGCATCCAACCAGTACAAAAAGGCCACCGAGCTGACAGTCAACATTAAATGAACAGTGACCTCTTTACCTGCAGCGCAATGTCGATCTGATTCTTGATGTTTTTGATGACATAGCCTTCAACTCCTGAGTGATTACTGGTTTTCAACATGTACCTGAAACAAGACCAGAAAAGGTGAAAATGCTGAAGAAGAGAAGAAATTCTGAGGACTTCAAGGAGAAAAAAGGTGGAGCTCACTGGAAAAAATTGTATTTGGCTTCAGTGTCAAACTTATCGATGCTCAGCTGTAACACCTTCAGCCCTCTGGTTCTCTGTTGACAAAGGAGAACATGTGTGATATATGTGAAAAGTTTTAATAAAAGAAGAAGCAGGAATAGTCACTTTGAACACATCTAATGTTACAATTTGCTGAAAATGCTGAAGTGTCCTCTTACCAAATCATGCTTTGGACATATCGTCATGACCTTCACCAAGTTCTAAACAGAAAGTCGAAATCAAAATACACATCAGTGAAGCAACACACTGTGACAATCAAAGCAAAGTAAAAAAAAAACTCAGGAATAACTGCTCACCTGAGGGACTGTGAGGAAAGGTTTGATCTCCAGCAGATCTGCATGCAGACTGCCATCCTCCACCCGCACCAGACTCTTCTCATACAGCTCCTGCATGACAGTAAGTACTCAGAACATCACAGACGTGAAAGGGCAAGTATAAAAAAAACAAGTTACTGAGCTTCTGTGCTGAAGTTATTTTGGGAGGAAGAAAAACATTTTGTAAGCATGATCTTGAGAAAAGCAAACAACGTGTGCGCAAATATTTATGACTGAGTAACTCGAGAAAACTTAAACACTAAAAAAACAGATCTGAAGAATATTTTCCCTTCATCTTGACCTCAATGTTACGTTGGACTCACCAGTCCTTTCTGAATCCTGGACTCTTCAGTTCTGTCAATGGAACATAAATCAGACACAAGTTTAGTTCAGTTGAGCTCCGTCACACAACAAACACCAAACCAAGTTAAACAGTGATACAATGTGACAGTTTAACCTAACTAGAAAACATTTCTTATTAATGTTTGAGTTTCTGTCAACTATAGATCGTTGTTCCGGTGGCAGACATGTCATGTAACCTGTGTCAGTGTTTGCTAACCTTTCCCATTATGTGTGTTGTTTACATGTTCTTTGGTGAAGAAAAAAACACTACAGAGCAGATAAAACAGTTCTATGTCATCAGCTCACCTGGAGAGGAGGAGGTTAATGTGCTCCATGTTTGACCGCAGACTGAACACTGGGCTGTTGAACGCACAGAGAGTCAGAGGGGTTCAAAATGCATGTTAACTGTTCATTCTCATGATTTAGTGTTTCATGTTCAAACAGTAAGAATCATAGTCCGTATTGTCTGTAGTGGTCATGTCTAGTCCCATTTCAAGAGTACAGCAAATGTGTTTACTTTGTGAGTGGATGTTTTTCGATCTCACCTGAAAACACTGGGGAACGTATCAGCAGTCAGGTGATGGACAAACACAAGGTGAGCCAGGCTGGCCAAAGACTCTTTAGGAAAACACACCTCCTCCTCCAGGAATCCTGAAACCTGCTTTCTCTTCAACAGAGGCTGGTACACAAGATCAGGGAGGGACTCTCCGATGGCACTGAGGGATTTCTGGACAAAACACAAACATAGAAACAGACTCAACATTTACATCATATCTAACAGGGAAACATGGCCGATATGGGTTAAGAACGAGCTAATTTTGTATTGAAACAAAAAACGTTGAACTGTAACTATAACATTGTTCATTGAATTTTCTGTACCAAAATCTCTGTGGCGAAATTTCTGAGAGGAGACACAGCCAAAGTGTCAGGATCCTTGAGTTGTACCTCCAACAGAGGGCGACTCAGAGTCTTCATACAGCTGCAGAACAGAAAACATCCTTATAGGCAGATATTTTATGTGCAAGTCTTTGAAGTGAAACCAATCAAATCTCTTACTTACAACTTCAGCAGCTCTGTCCGCAGCTCATCCTCATTCCCTGCAGCCGGTTCACCAGCCATGTTTTCTTTTCTCTCATTAAGGTTCAGGGTGTTTAGCTTGGCCTCCTGGACGAATGGCCTGACAAAGTCGGTCAGGTCAGTGCAGCAGCGACAAAGTGAGAAGACGTCATCCTCCTCTTGCTCTTTGGTGTGAGGTAGAGGCAGTTTGGCCAACTGGTCGAGCACAGAGGACAGGGACATACCCAGAGAGGACGCCTTGCGGCTGCCCAGGCTCAGCAGCACTAAGAGAGAAGACGTGAAGATGGCTTTATTTGTGATGTGATTATGCTTTAAGTGTTTGGAGGGCTGTGCTTACAGCAGTAGTGTTTACCTTTCTGTAGAGGGTTCAACAGCAGATGAAGGCTCTCTGCTATGGTGTCGGGGTCATCGTGCTCTAGCTGCTCCCACAGGCCAATCAGCAGCTCTTTGGGCCTGCAGGTCTGGAAAACACGACTGAGTCTTAAAAGAACAATTCCATCCCAACACTCATGACATTAAGCATTAGAAATTGTTGCTTTAGTGGATTACATTCATTCAGACCAAGAATGATCAATGCTTTCCTGACAATACTCACGCAGCAGATGAACCTACCTGTAACAGGTGATTGAAAATAGCCAGGCATGCAGGAAGGTTCTTGTCTTCTTTCTTCAGAAGAACTTGGATCAGAGGAGGCAGCAGGTTCCAACCCATACATCTCACGATGTCCTACACACAGAGTAAAAAAATCAGTGTTCTGCAGAAACACTTCACACACACACTACTAATGGGTCATTGCAATGAAACAATTGGCTGTGAGCACATACCTGGTTCTTGTCATCCAGGACGATACTGAGCACCTGAGCGCTGTGTCCCTCCTCGATGCAGGTCCGTCCTGCGATGGTGAAGACGTCATGATCCTCTGTGCTGTAGCTGTCATCAGGGAGGGCTTGCTGTATGAAATAAAGAGACACATCAAGGGATAAACAAAGGGCATAAAAATACATCCTATTGAAGATACTCATTTAAATTAATGACTTAAAAAAAAATCAGATTTTATTTCTCTGAAGTGTAATAGATTAAGGATTATTAAAACAAAATTCACAAGTCAAACAATAATGCCCCACAGTATTTAAACTGTTACTGAATGCAATTGTGGAATTTAAACCCACGGCTCTGATTATAATCTAAAATAGAAAGTAGAAGCACATTGTTGTGTATCAAGTGCAGCTGATACAGTAATAATAACACTTCTCAAAACTCACGTTAGAAAGAGCTTTACAATACTAAAACAAAACACATTAAAACAAGGCATGCCAAAAAAACCAGTTCAAATCACTAAAACCTGTACTGCATGCATCACCATGCACCTTAATAACTTATCATTTAGTATTTGCCTACTTACACATAGCTCTGTATATATATATTTATTTCTCGTTTACTGCCTATAGTTCTGTTTACATCTGGTCACTACTGCACATAGTACTGTATATATATTTATTTCTCGTTTACTGCACATAGTACTGTATATATATTTGTTTCTCGTTTACTGCACATAGTACTGTGTATATATATTTGTTTCTCGTTTACTGCACATAGTACTGTATATATATTTGTTTCTCGTTTACTGCACATAGTACTGTGTATATATATTTGTTTCTCGTTTACTGCACATAGTACTGTATATATATATTTGTTTCTTGTTTACTGCTCATAGTACTGTATATATATATTTGTTTCTTGTTTACTGCACATAGTACTGTATATATATATTTGTTTCTTGTTTACTGCACATAGTACTGTATATATATATTTGTTTCTCATTTACTGCACATAGTACTGTATATATATATTTGTTTCTCATTTACTGCACATAGTTCTGGTTACATCTGTTTACATCTGTTAGTCTGATCACTCTCCACTCATATCTATTCTTTTACATTTTGTATATTTAAGTTAAGTTTAAGCTTTAAGTTTTATTTAAATTGACACTTTATATTTAGGTTAAAATGTTTTGTTTACTTGCACTGTTTTTTACTGCTCTGTGTGCCTTTGAATTGCCCCCCCGGGGACATAAAGCTTTTTGAATTTGAATTTGAATTTGAATTTGAATTTGAATTTGAATCAAGTACAGAGGTCCCACTAGTTACTTAAGAATATTTCACTGACATTGAAACAGTTATTGCACTGGACATCTTACCTGTGACAACCTGTGACAACCTGTGACATGGTGCTGACAGAGTAAACATGTAAAGATGTGTGTTAAATGACTCACACATCTCTGGACCACATCACTGAGCTGCTCCAGAGACATCCCTGCTGTCCTGATCTGCACACTGTAATCCTACAAAACAAACACCTGAATAAATCACACTTCACGATAACACTACATGAACAGATGGAACGATGTAGTTCATGTTTATCATCATTTATATGTGAGGGAACATAGTTCATAGTAAGTTTAAAGGTCAGACAAACCTGTGTTGGAGGTAAACACTGTACAGATGAGAGCAGGATTGATGCTAGTTTGTTAAAGAAGAATTAGCTTAGCTGTTTGTCTGAAATAATGGTTTGCTTGTACCACACGCACTGAAACACTCTTACCTTAAACGGGAATGAGAAACAGCAACACAGTAAGGTAACAACAAACCTCAGCTACACTACATGTCCCATAGAAAAAGACTGAGGGGATGCGGGGGGGGGGAACAAACCACGCTACCTGACGAGCGTGCTAAGCGGCTGTGGACGGATGAATTGTCCGTCCGGGCTTTCCGTAGAAAACCAAAACACGTCACGGGTCAAAGTTAAAAACGTAGAAAACAGAAACAGCATGGAGACGGATCACAGACTTTGCGGAGGCGCCGCAAAAACCACCAAAAAAGGTTTGTTTACTGTAATATGATGTTTCTTTCGTGTCAGCATTAAGCTCTACAGTTTAAACATGCGCTATGTGCTGCTTTAGTCACGTATCAACAACACAGCTTCCTATTGTACACAATCATTCACACAAACACTTTAACCATGTTTTACAACAACAACACAGCTTCCTATTGTACACAATCATTCATACAAACACTTTAACCATGTTTTACAACAACAACACAGCTTCCTATTGTACACAATCAGTCACACAAACACTTTAACCATGTTTTACAACAACAACACAGCTTCCTATTGTACACAATCATTCATACAAACACTTTAACCAGGTTTTACAACAACAACACAGCTTCCTATTGTACACAATCAGTCACACAAACACTTTAACCAGGTTTTACTCTTCATTTTGTGTTACAGGTGGGAGAAGCAGCAAAACACTGACTGAAGAAGAAGCTAGAAGGTGTGAAAAGAGTTGTGATGAAACTAATGTGCATATATAAACAGCTTTCTACAGCAAGTTTCATTAATATATTTAACCATGTAACAACCTGTGTGTGTGCATGTGTGTGTTTCCCTAATATGTTGAGTTTGTGGTTGTTTCAGGGCAGAGGTGTTGAAGGAGAGCTTGAGGGAGAGGGTGGAGTTGGATAGAAGAGCCCTGAAGGTGGTGGAGCGTCTCTTGGAGGACAGAGTGACTGAAGACTTCCTGGTTGACTGTGTAAGTCATCTCAGCTCTAGTTTGTAGCATTAACCCACGGCTTACACAGAAAACCACCCACACGCGTGAGATGAGGGCTAGATTCAGCACAAGCTTGAATCCATAAACTGCAGTGAGACCAGGGTGACTTTGCTTTTTGTTATTTCTTCCTGTTATATCCTGGAAGTTCAACATGACTGGAGTCATACTGTGACTCCACTTGTAGTTATTATCCCATCTCGAAACCATTTCAATGTGATTCATAATGTTGAGATCGCTACAGGTGATTGCTTAGACAGATTAATCAACAGTGGGACGATATTCTTTTAATACTAGTGTCCTTCAACTTTACGATTCCTTTTTTTCCCCAGACATGGCAAAGAAGTTTAAAACGTTTTCAGTTTACATGGTTTAAGATTTTTTTTTTATTTGAAAAGTTGCATTTTTTGTCAAACTGACCCCCCGTGGCCTCATGTTTCTGTTTTCACACAGGCAAGATTCATTTTTCCTTCTAATTACCAAGATGCTGTGGAGGAGAGGTCCATCGCTAAACTTTGTGGCTATCCCATATGTCCAAAAAAACTGGACAAGGTTAGAAGCTTTTCATCGCTCTTAATTGTTCTCCTTAAGTAATGCATCTCTTTGTATCTCATCTTTTATGCTCACATTTTTTTTTAAATCTTTTTTTTTAGATCCCAACTCAACAGTTTAAGATTTCTACGAAGTCAAATAAGGTTTACGACATCACAGAGCGCAAGGTAAGTGTGTTTTTTTTTGTTTTTTTTTAATGGCTTTACAAAATAATATTTTTTACTTTCTCCCATGAATTCTGAGGGATTCTCTGAATGAACTTCATATTTTTGACCTCTCCCTGCTGCTCAGCTTTTTTGCAGTAACTTCTGCTACAAAGCATCCAAAGAGTTTGAGCTACAAATATCAACAACACCTCTTTGGCTCAGGCATCACGAGAGGTATGTTGTCGTTGTATGTTTCCACCTCTGTCCTCATAACAACTGATCAATAAATGTAATCCTTTTATACATATTTGATGTGATTTTCTCTCTCACTGGCAGTCCTTCAGAAATTAAATTGATGAAGAAAGGAGATTGGTATGTTTTTATTTCTTCAAAGTTTACATTTCATAAATCAACATCATAACTTTTAGGTGTTTTAAAAGTGACATTGGTCTTGTAATAAAACAGAACAAATGTAACCTGTGTCTGCAGTGGGAGTTCAGGTGAGGAGGTGTTGCTGTCACAGAGGCGTCTTCAAGAGGAGGACGTGGAGGACCCGCTGGCTGCTCGACCTGAGGACCCTCACAGCTCTCAGCAGCATCGAGATGCAGCCGGCCTAAATCACAGTGATCATAGCGACATTGAGCAGGAGCAGGACTTTGTCTCCAGCGTTGTCTCTAAGCGGCAGGGACCCAGGGTGCATTGGGGTGACCTGCCCAAACGTTATGATGAAGGCGTAAAAGGAGAAGGAGGGAAAATGGAGAGGCAAAGGAAACAGAGGAGGGAGGGGGATGAAGAGGAAACAAAAGATGAAAGCAAAAAGCAGTCTCTTCCATGTAAAACAGAATTTGACCCCGAAGACCCAAAACCTCAGCTCTCATTAAACATAGACAAACCTAATGAGGAGAAGGTGACAGAGGAGCAAGGATGGCATGAAGAACCTAATGTGAAGGAGGCTACAATTCAGCTGGATTTGTGCAGTTTATCTGAGACAATCACTCCCCCTGCTCCCCCACCTGACGACTCTGCAGCCATTAAAGAGTCAACCCAAACAACAGAGAGCAAACATTCCCCTCCATCTACTCTGAACAGCCAAAGCACGGTCCTGACAGAACAACCGGGCCTCAACATCACCCAGGTTGGTATGAGTAAAAGAGGGGCAGCTGGGCTCCAAGACCTCCTCAAGAACCACACAGCTGGAGCCAGAGCTGAATCCATCCGCCTGAATCTCCTCAAGTGCCTGAGAAGAACTTTACAGGACTGGAGCACTGACGACACTCTGAAGTTCCTGTACGGCGCTGATCATTCTCTGGGCGCTCCTTTCGCTGATGTTAAAGAGAAAGAAGAGGTGCAGGAGGACGAGGAGCTGGATGAAGACGATCTCGAGGTGACAAATGAGGCTACAGGAGAGGTTGATGCCCGGGTGCAGGAGAGACCGTCTGCTGCAGCTCCAGATTATGAGGCGCTGAGGAAGGAGACTCAGCAGCTGGAGCTGAGTGTGAGGGAGTTTTATAAAGGGACCTGGATCCTGCCTGAGGAGGGAAAGGAGTCAAGCAGCGACAAGGTGATTGAATCGAATCTATTCAATTTTCTTTCTGACAGATTTATATCACAAAGTTTTTTTTCCCCCCCAGCACTCACACATCATGTTTGTTCTCCCATAAGGTTTCAGTCGAGGAGCAGAGCAGGAAGGACCCCGCTCTGCCACTTGTGGACTCTCAGGCTCAGCACCTCATCCAGAAACGTATCACGGTGGAGAAACTCAACAGCTGGTGTGTATTTGTGCTTTTAATCTGTGGGGTTTATTGTGTTGAATTAGTGCATGCACATTAACTGAATGTAGAAACTTAAAAACAGGCATTAAAAAACATTTATACATTTTTTTATTCTGAGCTGTGCGTCTGTACCATATCACTTTGTAACTTTGCTTAGCTGATACATTTGTGAACGGAAATAAACCTCGAGAGAGCTGTTATGAAATAGAACTGTTTGACACATGTGGGCCAATGTTTATCAAGCTGCTGGTCCTTTGAAGTGTCAGCATTCACCCTTATAGGTGTTAGGAGCACAGGAGTAATGAAGAAGAATACCTCTTTGAAAATGATCTATGAAATGTGTTGGTATAAATGAGGAAATAAAGAAAGATTACACAAGTAAAAGCACAAGAACGAATCAATAAATAATTACTGTGAGGATATGAAAAGTAACAACACAATACAGATTAATAACAATCATATATTTAGATATTAACTGTTGGGGCTAGATAAATATAGATATTTGTTTAATGCAGGTCTATTTATTGGTTTTCTTGAAATTACACATCTGCTCAGTTTAAACATTTTTAATGTTTATTTTCGTCACTCCTTCAATATATTTGTTTGTTCTCTGTGTTGTGCAGTCTCAGAAACATTGTCGGTCCGCTGTGTCTCACCATGAGTGACGTCTCCACTGACCTGAACAACCTAGTCAGAACATTTAGGTCAGTGCAACACACACACACACACACACACACACACACACTTCACCCTGCAGGTCTTCTGCAGCAGAAGGTCACATGATTCATTTAACCCACACGCAACTTCAGATGTGTCTCAAAACAGGCTTTCTTGCCGTGAGTTTTAAGGTCTTGAGAAGTTAAAGGTCAGGGCATCAAGGTTCACGTTTGCAGGAATTATGTTGTGTCATTGTATATCAAATGTATATGCATATCCTTAAGATAAATTGTGTAAATAATAAACTTTTAAAAAATGTGCTATGATAAAATCTTGCATTATTACAATGCAAATATATTTTTAGAGACATTTGTACTATTTTGGCATACAAATGGATCCTCCTTATTTTTTTGCAGGAACAACTGTTAATCTAATCCTCCTGAGATTGCTGTTCTACTGTGAGAATAAAAAGAGTATTGAAGTCATTATCAATGATTGATATTTTTTGCAATTCTCAACACTGAGAGGGTTTGAAATAGAACTTTGGTGCCCCCTACTGGTCAGCATGAAACATGAGAGCAACAGGAATTGTAATAAATACCTTTTTTTTCACAGCAGACATTTAACATTAATTTTGGCTCAATTCCATGTAGCTACTTTAGTTAATCTTGAATGTGATTAGAAACACCAACACCGCTGCCCTTTGTTGCGATAAGTCAAAATATGAAAGGACAGAACTAAGTACTCGCAGTTGCCGGGATGCCCCATAAAGCCTGCAAATCTGTGTGAGTGTGGAGCTTGGGATCTAGCCAAAGACAGGTGGAGGTGAAACCATTAACATCCCTTTTTAAAGCTCATGAATATAACCAGATAAGCACAAGTGTTGTGTGAAATAAACATCGCCCAAAAAGTAAGGACATTTGTGTTTTGTAGATTATGTCTTTGTTGTCTTCTTAGCAATAAATCTTATACCGTTGGAAAGCCTGTTTAATTCCCTTTTAAATGGTGCCACATCTGTAAGGAACATGCATTGGTGGGATGAGCAACAGAGCTGAGTATGTGGATTGTGCCCATGAAAAACTTGCCAAATCTTCTCTGCCAATGCCAAACAGCTTATTGTGCTGTTGACTCTTGTTTGGTGTTGTTTAGTGGATTGGATGATTGAAGTCTGAAGAAACAAGACATATTGGCAATTTAACAATGTATTCATTTAACAAACAGGAGCATCAGTAGTGTATGGAAGAACCTTACACAGCCATAACAACCTGGCACTCCTCCTCATGCTAGTCACAAACTGCTGTGGGATGGCATCCAAATCTTCAACAAGCATTTGTCTCAAAAGCCAATGTGGTTGTGTGGGTCACTTTGGCATGAACCATGCCCAAGCTGATCCCACCAGTGTTCAATGGGGTTGAGGTCAGGACTGCAGGCAGGCCATTCCATCCTCTCCACTCCCATATTCTGGAGGTAGTCTCTGATAAACTCTCTGGGCGAGCGTTGTGATCTTGGAGGACAGAGTTCGGTCTTTGGCTTTGGCAGAGAAGATTTAGCAAGTTTTTCCATGGCCGCAACGCACATACTCAGCTCTGCTGCTCATCCCACAAATGCATGTTCCTTGCAAATGTGGCACCATTTAAAAGGGAATTAAACAGGCTTTCCAACGGTATAAGAGTTATTGCCAAGAAGCATTGTTACAACAAAGAAAAAAAATCGACCAAACACACATGTCCTTACTGTTTCTGCAATGTTTAGCAATTAATTCTGTTCAGTTAAAGTTTTCTAGTAAGTTATGACAGAGTGATCCACAATGCTTAATACAAGGACCCTGACACCAAGCAGCTACATGAAATTCAGCCACATTAATTTTATTTAAACCTGTGATTTTTGTACTATAACATGTCAAAATATCTTCAGTCAAAAAATGACCTTTAAGAATGATTCAAACAGGGGCAATAACACTAACAGAATAATCATTTAGATGTCAGACTCGGCCTTCACTGCCAAAAGGTCTGTGAGAAAAAGATTCACCTGACAAAGGAAGTGTCAGACGTTTGTTTTGGTGGAGCCAGATCTCAGTCGTTGTGTTTTTTCTTTTAATGAGAGCGATTAAGCTTTTAAACAAGGTTTTTTATTTATCTGTACAAAAATATTAATATATTTCTTGTCCACTAGTTGTCAGTGAAGCCTTTCATTGAAAACCTTGTTTCAGATTGAACTTTTCCTGCCACATACAGACTCTGTGTTCCCATTGACTGGTTAGGATGTTTTCAGCATCACAGCCATTTAATCACCGTGGAGCGAGTAACACCTCTGGAGTCCTGCTTCCAGGAATTCTCTTTGTGCTGTCAGAGGGCTCGCTGACATGAGGCGTTAAACTTCACAATATACACAGTGCTGCTGTCACGCACACATACATCACTGCTATATTGCTGCGAGAGTTTTCTAGGGTCTGTACGGCCATGTGAACGTTTCTTTTTTCCTAGGTCACTTATAACAGTAGAAAATATGAAAGACTGCCCTTAATGACGTAATCAAAAAAACAAAACTTTATTTTTTGTGTTGACACCACAGGTTCACCAACACAAACATCATCCACAAGACTCCAGAGTGGACCCTCCTCGCTGTTGTGCTTCTCCATTTGTAAGTTTGTAGTTTGTCTCTGAGTGTGTAACCTTAGCATTTACAGGATACTCAATGACAGCCAGATAAACAGTTGTAAAGAAGAGAGAGAAAACAATGTCAAGGAGAATAAAGAACATTGTTTCCCAGGAAATACACGGTGTCAGCAAACTCAAAACGACACTGTTCTTCACTGTCTGGGTGTGAAACTGTTAGTGTGTGAAAACATAAAAAAAGGTGTTGTTTTTCTTTTTCTTTTTTTACAACAACTGCAGATTTCAAAAGTGAACAACAGAGCATAGGTCAACCTTCTCTGCGATGATTGTTCAAAATATGCATGATGTGATTAAGCGTAAAAAATGTATGCATGTTGAAAGAAGGCTGACTTTATGTGAGTTTTTCTGTTGCATGGATTGGTAATTGATAATGTCCTCAATGAAAGCAACGCAGCAGTCAATTTCACACAACTATTCTGTTTGTCAGAAATCTGGAAGACTCAATAACTGTACAGTGATTGAAATTTACTTTCAGCTTCATGGCGCATTTAAAAAAAGAACATTATTGTGGGATTATTGTTTTGTCTGTGCCATATGGTCTGTGTGTGTGTGTGTGTGTGTGTGTGTGTGTGTGTGTGTGTGTCTGTGTGTGTGTTAGTTACTGGCAGTTCATGGACAGTTCCGTGCTGCTCCCGTCTATACACACAAACGCCTCACAGCCTTATCTCCACCTAATTACCTCTCTCCAGATCCGCGATGCAGGACACAAAAAACGGCCCTGGACACAATAAAGTTCAACACACACACACACACACACACACACACACACACTAGTTCTTGTGTATACATCCAAGCAAAACCGAGCACTTTAAATTGGCCTGGCTGGGAAAACTTTCACCTGATGCTGGACTGTTTCAGATTTACGACTCTCTCTGTGGCCCCTGGTCTGTTTTTAACTATGTAATGACTTGCATTGTGTGTTCACTTGAACACAACAAAGAGTAGAATAAGTGTTTGAGGTGCAGTAGAAGACACAGTTCATTATCTCTTAAATCAATTGGGCTCTTTTGTTTGTAAATTCCCCTCCTTTAAAGAATAACATTCTAATTTCTATATTTCAGAAGTGAGCCACTGAAAGGTTTTCACTTAGTTATATCATCAAGGGAAAAAGTGGAGCTTACACTTAATGCTCAGTTATTTTCAGAAGAGAAAAAACGTTTTGGTATTGTTTAAACTTTTTAAAATCCATGTGTGGAAAATAAAAAAAGAGAGACAACATTTGTTACCCATCCTCTGAGTGGGTTTCTTATAACGTTTACTGTTATAGAGAGATGAATCTAAAAGGCACTGCTTTAAGGTTTGATTTTAATCTGCCTGATGAACCCTTTAATAATATACAAGCACTATAATCAATGCACCTTTAAATTCTCTAATCTTTTCTTTTTTGATCGATCTTTGATAATCAGCCCCTCCTGGACACACTCATTGTCTTTGCCACATGTCCCTCTGCTGCTCTATGATTTCATTTAACTTCAAGCTCCTCCATCCTTCCATTCCTCCATCATGAATAATTTGGTATTCTGTCGTATCTGTCTGCTGCGTGGCAGCTGCAGAGCTACGCCGGCCTCTATTGTTCAGCCGGCCTGAATAATGGATGGCCCCCCTGCAACACTAGACCCCGGGGTGAACCTGAGATTAAGCAGCAGTGCACCTCCACACAGGTAGAGAGGACAGGTAGAGAGGGGAGGAGGGGGGCCGGGGGGTTAGGGAGGTGATGGAGACCTACATAAATTCAGGTTGTGCATGTGTGGAAGTGTGCCTAGCTGCATGTTGTAAGTGGGAAACTTTTTTTAAACGCTGTAGTAGATTGTTTGATGTGATTATTTGATGTTCGTCATCATTAGGATCTACGACTTATTAATAAAGGAACAATTCAGTAGAATTTCTCTCGTGTCAGTCAGACGTTCCGATACGGGTCATAACAGCTTCACTGAGTCAGAACTAGATCCCCCTTAATCTGGTGTTTTCACATTTGTTTTTTGTTTTAGTCATTGAAGTTTCAAGATATCTCATCAGAATGATCAGGTTGTTCTAAAAAACAATGTGATTTACATGAGTTAATATCTTAATAATCAGGAGAGACTTAGTAATTAATGTGAAGGTTTGTCTTTGTTTAAATTAGAAATGTGATTGCATTCTTGAAGGTCTTAGTTTGTCTTTCTTGTTTTGGTAAAATAATCTGTTTCTGTGTTTAAGGTTGTCTGAGGTTTCTCCGGTGGTGCTTGAGGCCTTGAAGAAGCCGGAGTCCGACGACTATCTGAACACACTGATTGAGGAACAAGGCCTACACGAGCAGGACCTCCTGAACTTAGTCCGGATGTATAAAACCTCGGCACACTAACACACGCACACAGCCAGATATGGACATATGAAAATCCAATACACACTCAGGATGTAAGACTGATTTAAATAAAAATGTGGGTATGTTTGTTTTCCCCAAATAACATTTGTTGTATTAAATTTGAAAACTAAACCTCCTGCCTCTTGTGGTTTATCTGATCCAGGATACATGAGGGAAGTCTGCAGGTCTCTCTTTATTGCAGCAGCATGTCTGCACAATCTGTGGTGAGGTGTGCAAATCAGATCCTTAAAGTTTTAGGGCCCTGGATGTTTAACCTCTGCAGGGCCAAATAAATCACACCCAGCTTTCCCCCTGCAAAACGCCATGTGGACACGCTGCTGGAGGAGCTCCTGCTGTCATAAATGTGATGCTATTTCCCCAGACCTCCTTTATGGCACCATAATGGCATTTGTTATATGGGTATGATAACAATGTGTGTGTCTGAAAATATTTGGTTTTGAGCAGGTGGCACATGCAGCAAAACGTTTTTCTCTTTAATAGTGCAGGGATCAAGAAAGCTGGAGCTGTCATGCAGCACTGGGGACGTGATTGATGGCCTACAGGGCTCAGCACAGCTTCTTGTTTTTTCCAACGTCATTTCTTTTTGAGGTGAGATGAAGGATTTCCAACCATGTCGCATTTATTTGATCTATTATGAGGATTGGAATTTTGAAAATAACCTAAACAATGAGAAAATAATTTTTTATCATATAGAGAGTAATCACATGTTGGTTTGTAAAATCCCAACATGCAAAAACAGGCAACTGAGCTCTATGGCAAAGCAGGGGTTCTACTGTCAGAAACCAGTGTTTTTGTCAGTTTAAAGTGATAAAAAAAAAAATCATCAATTAAACTGCTGTTGATTCATAACTTTAATAACGATATTAAAATGTTCTTGATAAATAAAGTTTTATTTCCATAAAGTCAACCAGAATATCTCAGTGTAAATAATGAACTACATTCAACAATAGAAATAGTTTAAATTCAACATAAAATAGAGTAAAATAACGCAGTCGGGAAACATTGAAAGTGCAGGATTTCATGTTGAAGCATCGAAGTCTGCTCATTTGAGTCCATGCTGTGTCTCCTTGTGTCTCCTCAGGTCCACTTTCCGCTGGAACCCTTTCCCGCACAGGTCACAACCGAAGGGTTTGAATCCCGTGTGTTTCCTGCTGTGCGTGATGAGATTGGAGCTCTGACTGAAGGCCTTCCCGCACACCTGGCATTTGTGCGGCTTCTCACCTGCAGCAGGAGCGAGATCACATATATGAGTGTTGAGACATTTTACACATGACGCACGGATAATCATGGATTTAGTCATTTATTTTGTATTTATATCACTATTTAGTGTCTAACCTGTATGGATAAAAGTGTGTTTTTTCATGTCGGACTTCTGGTGGAACCTCTTCCCGCAGTACTGGCACGGGTAAGGTCTCGTGTCCGAGTGGATGAGCAGGTGTGTCGACAGCGTGGAGGAGCGCTTGAAGCTTTTGCCGCAGATTTTACAGCTGAAGCTCCTCTCCTAAAAAAAAAAAAAGAAAAAAAAAGTGTCATCAGGTATGAATAACTGCAAAAATATATGGAAGGCCTTGAAAAAAGCTAAACTCTTTCCGGTGCCATTTAAGGTGAATTGGAACCTACCTGCGAGTGAACCGCTCTGTGCTGATCCAGGCTCACTGCATGCCCAAAGGTTTTTCCACAGATCCCGCACTCAAACGGCCTCGTCCCGCTGTGCGAGCGCCGAACGTGAACCTCCAACCCGTGAGGAGTAGAGAATACCTATAGAAAAATAGAAGGATGACCCTAAGCCATTAGGGTCTAACGACATTTCGTGGCACTTGTGTTATTGGTAAAATGACAAAGATAAGGGCTAAATTTGGCTCAGATCATTTGTAAGATATATGCAAATACAACAGAACAGTTGTGAAGTTGTTCATGTAATGAGTCAGTAAACTTTGACTTACCTTGTAACATTTAATACACTTGTAGGATCCACTTGGCTCAACATTAGAACAAATAAAGTCACTTTCGGACTTGATTTTGATCCCGAGGGGGTTCTGTTTAACATCCAGATACAGCTCTTCTCGGTCCCGCATCCTGCAGATCTGTTGGCTCGCTGAAGAATAGTCCTGGTAACAACCGGCCGTCGGGCCATTCTGTGCGTAAAGCTGCTTGGTGCTGCTGTCCTCTGCATCGTAGACTGGAGAGTGAGCCCCACTGTGGCCCTGACGGTGATGATGATGATGATGAGGCCCCTGAACCTGCCTGAGCTGGGAGCTGGAATAGGCCGTCCAGGAGTAAGGAAAGAAAGGACTGTTGAATTGTTGGCCATCCTCCGCCGTGGAAGTGGAACTCTTCTCCGATTCTGGAAGTGAATTTGGATTTGGTGTGAGTGGGTAGAAAGGTGAACAGCAGTTCATGGCGTGTTGTAATTTTAGAAACGGTCACCCTAAGGTCCTCGAATGAAAATGTTGCAACACGTCAATCTAATTGAGTTGTAAATAAGTGTTTTTTGTTAAAAAAAAAAAAAAAAACTGAAGTGACAGATAATCGATATATTAGCTTGTTAAATTTATTAAGGCTGAGTATGATATGTTGACTACATTTTCCGGACATTCATGTAAGTTCACTGTTCTAACTGTAAAACGACATTTACGATTTGAGAAAACAGCAACACAAAAACACTTTCTCTGTTTTTTTTAGTTGTTTTTTTTTATAGGCCTTCACTTCTGAATCTTCTAAAAACAGTTGTGGTTTAAATATATTTTTAAACAGACCTGGTGAGGAGGAGGGAGACGGGGGACGCCAGAAATCAAAGTCAGAGGATCGGTCACACACGCTGCCTCCACTGCTCATCGGTGAGTTCGAGGACAGAGACCCCGGGGACAGTAGATTGGACCCGGGTGAAAGTTCTTCATCTCCAGCGCTCACATCGTCCTGAGGCTCCAATTCCGCCTGACACTTGGTTTCTAAATTGCAGATGAGAGTTAGGACTCTTAAGAATTTTTAACTGGTTTCTGAAGAAAAAGGACATTTACCATTCGCGTGCGTAATTACGCACAGATAAACCTACCTGCGCACACAAGAGCCAGTATAGTGTCCAACCTGGTGTAGTCATCGTCAGGGTACCGTGGCAGGTGGTAGCTGTGGGCCCTCTTACTCTTCACCAAGAAAGACCTCGGCATTTTTTTATTCTTTCTGTCTGCTCAGGTCTGAAATCCTCCACTTCACTCGACTTCACTCCTCTGCTCCAACTTTATCTCTGGTCAGATTGGAACACTATTGGTTGACAGGCGAGACTGCGTTGGGGTTTTGGCAGGCTATTACGCATGCGCAGCGTGGCCGTATCGTTTACCAGGTGTCACTGGGCAGGTGGCCAGAAGTTGGACCACCGTCCCCCCAAAAAGAGTCTCCCGGAAGATATGGGATTGGAGAGGTCGTATGTTATGTCCTCTTGGGTTTATCTGCAAATGTGACGGAGAGTAAATCACATTAGAAAGTGTACAATGGCATTTTCCTATTATTTTTGTTTTTACAGTTTAATAAAAGACATAACGCTTTCAGTACATCGTGAAAATCTGTTTTGATTGAGAGATTTTACTACAGGAAGGACAATGAATAAACCTTTTTACACCCAAGATAGTTTAATTATTTCTGAAGTTAAGTTAACTTTTTTATTAATAAATATTAACCTTCAAATGTGTCCCAAAGTTGGAAAAGCTGAACAAGCATCGTGGAAATCTTAAATAAATTAAAACCGGAACTGGATTTGTGCATTTCTCAATCAGGGTTCAGAAGTGTAATCCTAAAAACTATTAAATTACAATATTTCAACAAAACCTTCGATTTTGGAGAACCATCAAACCAGTTGTCTAGAATTGGCCGATAAAACTCTAGTGTGAGTTTTATGACATTAAACGTGTGTTTGTGGATGGGTCGTTGCAGGCAGAGCAGGCTGGGCTGGAGAATGTCCTGTTTGTTTGGCTGCTTGTAAAGTGATCCTGTTAATGAGACGCGCGCCGCCGCTCTGCACAACAGCCTGCTGGTGGGGAGCCGAGGTTTCACTTTACAGTGACACTGCTTCAGCCTGATTGTTTTACATGATTAAAACCCCCTCTCAGACCGCAGGGCCCAATTAGGATGTCCACTAAATGACATAGCCAACATTCAACATAAGTTGAATATACAAAATCAGATCAAATGAATGACCTATGGAAAACAAGTTCTGCGTTGAAATCTGTCAAGCTCAAATGCAAATCATAGCGAAGATTTTGGGCTCCGTTCAAGGTCTCTCCAAAGCAGAGCAGTATCGATCTTTGACCGGTGTGGGAACAGAGTTTGTTTGTTGCAGCTGCAACAAGTGAGAGACCTGCAAGCAAAGCGCAGACAGCCAAGCCATGAAGCTGAAACACAGGTGGCATACTCACACAGCAGCAGCAGCAGCAGCACTGACACTGTCCTCAACTTTGTCCACAGTCAGTCTAAATGTCAGAATATCAGTCATAGGCGGTATAGAGGCACCATAAACCCCCTCTGCTCATACATACTGTAACACACTCTGTTTCTTTTTCACACCGGCACTATCTTTTTCTGCCTTTCTTACCCTCCCTCGCTCCCACCCTCTCTCTAAAAAAATGTTCTTGTTCGTCAGCCATGACAGTCAAATAAAAACACTGATTCATGTGTACATTGAGCAACAATAATTTCCTTTCCTAAGTAAAAGTTTGCATTCCCAACCAAAGGTATATTAATTAAAACCAAATGTACTTTGTGCTTCTCCTAATACCTGTGCTTTTAACTATAACTATACCTTTCAGAAGCTTTTGTCCTGACTCCTGTGTGCCAGCCCTTCACTTTAATTTATTTCTTTACTGATGTAAATGTTTCACTCACTGAAAGGAAAGTCAAAATGAGACATTTTCACCTCTCCTTTCACTTTTATTCTGAAAGTTATGATCACTCTTTGTTTGTGCAAAAACAAAATCTCAAACTCAAAACTAGTTTTCCTGTAAAATTATGATTGCAGACTTATAAATGACAACAAAAACAGCAACATCTTTGAGATGATATAAAAAAATCTACCCACACTCAACTGTTTTCCCCTTTAGCATAACATATAGCATATATATATATATATGAATAGCAAACATAGCATAGGTATCCTCTAATAAACAAATATTTCGGTAAATGAATTTATATAAACATTTTGTCTAATCAAGCTGCAGATTAATACAGACAGTTAATCTCATAGAAACAGAAAACTTAAGTCACAGAAGGTCACAGTCGATGTGACAACGTACAAACTCAGGGTAACACACTGACTCAGAACAGGAAACCAACAGAGACTGAAGACGCTATCAGTGTTGCCACAGCCTCCTCTTTTGTCTCTTTGTAACCCCCCTCCCTCTACTCCTAAACCCTGTACATCTCACAGACCTTGATTCTCAGTGTCTCACCTCACAGAAAGTTTGTGATTGAAATAGAAGGCGAATTTCAGTGATCAATGGGGGGGGGGGGGGGCAGTTGTCTACCTTTTAAGTACAGATCACAGTCGCATGGTTAAATAAAGATTGTTCTGGTGAACCTTGAGGTAATTTTCTCTTTATTTTCTCAAGCTAAACCTCGGGGGTCTTTCAGCTCCAGCGATGTTAGAGGCAGACTGTGGGGACTCTTACAGTTTTAAATAAATCTGAGGCTAATACCACATGTGTGTGAATGTTGATGAGAGGAGCAGAGTGCAAAGCAGTATGCAGAGGTGATGTCTTGATTTTGACTCACTTCAGGTCAATTTACAGCAAGAATTCAATGTAAGCAAACTTGTGGCTGCTGTGGCTTCATGAGGCGATCTAACAAAGACAAAGACAGCAACACAAATGATAAAATAGCCAAGTCTGTGAAGAGGCTCAAGTCTGTTTCATATTGAAATAGATTAAATTATATTACGATATATAACATTTGCTAATGATTGCCAACAAATGCAAAAAAAAAAAGAAATTCATACCAAAAAAGATTAATCCAACTTGAAAGTTTCAGAAACTGCTATACTCCAAGTGGCCACTTAAGGCTGCCTCCAAAGTGAGTCAATCCCCATAGAGCCCACAGCTAAAGTACCACATTTAACAATGCAATTAAACATGTTTACAGCCTTGGACAGAAATTGTTATGGTCTTCATAGTTTATTCTTTTTTAACTGTATAGAGTTTCTTTATTTTTTTTCCTTTTTTGTTTTTACAAAACCATCCTGTTTAAACTTTATCAAGGCGTAGAGATCTACATATTTAGAGGGGCTGTGATAGGAGAATAAAGGATCGGATCAGGCCCTTATTTTAGGATACTTAAATGAACACCAATAGATGAGTAAAGGGGCTCTTAGACCTAAGGGTCAAGGCTTTTGTGCTGCGTATAGAGAAGGGTATATGGTTACTCTGGATGGCATGTAGTTGATTCTCCACCTTACACTAAAAGTCACTGTATTTCATCTGTGTTTGTGGTGTTAGTGCCTTTAAGAGAATCTTCAAGCAAAAAATCAGACAAATGGCTGTGCGGCTAACTCTGCAAACAGTGTAAGAAGTCTGTGTTCCATTTTTTTGTGTCAGTGAAATTGAATTATTTCGATGCTTAAGCCAGATAAGGAATTGTAAGTTTGTGTTGACTGTATAACTTTGATAACAAAGCATTTGCATGTTATTTGCTCCAATTATTGTATATAGTGTTATTATCCCGCCTTTTAATCTATGGTCTCACTTTAAGAGTGAAACTTTGTTCAAATCCTTAGTGTGAAACAAATCATGACAATTTACAATTCAACAGTTTCATATGTTTGAAAATTCAAACTCAGGAGAACCATTGAAATCAGTGTTCTACAAGTGTTTAGTGAATCCAAAAAGTGTATTTCAATGCCATGTTGTGGCTAAACTGACTTTCCCTGGCTCATGTCTCAGTTAAGTCCCGCAGTTCTCAGTCTGTGCGTTTACCTCCACACCTCCACTCTGCTGCTGCATCTCAATGAAAACCACATTATGCTATCTCATCCCCTCACAGGTTCCTTTGGCTCCAGAGCTCTAACCACAATGTTACACCCTCCTCCCTCTCTCTTTTAAACAATCTACGAACGATTTGAGTTCTTTTCCTCAGGTTCAACAGCCTTCAGCCCCCACCCGCCCCTCCTTTGGAAATGGCCGCCCAATCTTTTTCTGCTCCCAGCTGGCCCCAACTGCAGCCCCCAGATAGGGACCAAATGTGAACACAATGAATGATTTACTGGATGCTGCTGACCACAAGAGAGTTCTTCTTTCACACATTCACTCCACAAACGTTGTGGAGACGTCACTCATCTAATTTAAATCGTGTCTTCCTGAGGCATTAGCGACGTTTTCTGTGTCACTGTACATTGATCTTGATTCATTTTAAATGATTGTTCTTTTGGCAAAATCTGTGTTGAAAATTTCTGTACTGTCATATATGCTCAAAAGATCTGCCAACTTTTGCCCGGGGTCAGCAAGACTTGGAAAAAAAAAAATTCAAAAGTGTGAAAACGGAAGAAGCACAGAAGGAAACTCTCATGTTTAACTAAACAGGAGTTTGGATTTATGCTGTAAACACTCCACAAATCAGCCTCCTCATCCATCAATGTGATCAGCAGCTCCCCTTGTTTGCGAAACAGGCTGTTTCTGGTTGTAAATTTCCCTCACAAGTCCAAAGAATCTCTTATGGGACGTTGGTGCGTGGATGTGAAGAAACCTGTGCAAGGCTTCCTGGTCATTGTGTGTCTCATGGTCTCATGTCTGCATGAATGGGGTGGAGACGGCCGTTTGAAAGGACAGAGGTCAACAAGCACAGTGCATTAGATTGATGCATTTTATTTATTTTCTGAGTAAGAGGTTTTTAATAACCTTCATTGCCTTCTTAACAGTAGAAATGGACCAACTCTGAGCCATGAAATCATTGTGGGCTGAAAATATACCCTAATTTCTAGCAGGTTAACCCCTGAATGCACGTCTAAGTGCTACTTTGTTTTTGCTGATTCTCCGAATCTTAATTTGGTCTTTTTCTTGCACTTATTTTCCCCGAAAAATTCAGCTTTGTCTGTTTATTCATGATGTGTTAAACAGTGGTCGAATGTGGGGTGATGTAAACTGCCTTTTCACACTCTTCATCTCTACACCATCTCTGCTGCTTCTGTACTATTCTATCAGGTGTTAAAGTTGGCCAAACTGAATTTAGTTTAAGCAGAACTGATTTGGTTTCAATGTGTACCATACTTATATTTCTGTCAGAGAACTTCCCTCTATCATAAATCCAATCTTTCTTCTAATGCTAAAAAAAAGTGTTGACAGATTAACGGGGTATATGTGGATGTTATTTGACCTTTGACGATTTGAAGGGACAGAAACAAGTAATGGAAATGTTTGTGACCTTCAAAAATATGCATGCAAATGAATATAATGTAGTCAGTGTAATCAGTAGTGAGAAAGGAGTGTGCTGCTTGTCAACACTGTCTTCTTATCTGTTCTGTGACTGTGAACACATTGTGGATGAGCATTTTTCTGCAAGTTATTTCTAGTCCACTGTAATCTCATAGTTATCTGCTATAAACTCTTTTTGTGCGTTTTGGGATGAAATCATGAGTAGGCAGTACACTGAATGATTCACTTGTTCAAATAATATCTATACAGGCTGGGAAAAGCTACATTTTTAAATTTAAGATTAGTAGGTTCAAAATGAGCTATATAAACAAATGACCATCTAGAGTATACACAAGTATACACCAGGGGTTTACCCTCATCTGCCCATATGGTATGAGCATTGACCATTGATACCCAGAGATGACTGGACAGTTACTTGTCTTCATTGTGAAATCAGTTCTGCAGAAAGAGTTAGAGAGGCTGTCCACAAGAGTGACTTTGACTTTTCTTATCAAATGCTGAGAACATCTGCAGAAAAGCAGAAGACGCAGGTTCCTTTTTCTACATTTCTGACACGTTACCAGATCGTGTCAGACAGAACTACTTGTTTCTCATTACTTTCTCACAAAGTAATCATTGCATGATTTGAAGACCAAACAAGGTCATTTGACCAATGTTCACTTACCGCTGAAATGCAGCAAACATCTTCGTAAGTCCTGCTATAAAGATGACATTTTTAACATGTTTAATAAAAACTTGACATTCAGTTGCGAGTTAGCTAGGCTAAGCTAAAATGAGGAAAGAAGGGAAACAGCAAGAATAGTTTGGTCTTAAATCAACGAAAGTGACATAAAGCAGGTTATATTTGTTAAGTACTTAACTTTACTTAAAATAGTTAACTAATATTCCCCTATGATTTTTTTGGACAAGTTAGGCCTATAGGATACATGTAAAGACTAAAACCCTTATTCTCAAGTTTTTTGTGGTTAACAAAAGCTAAAGCTAGTAGCTATATTTAGTTTATCTTAAATGCCACCACGGCTGAGAATTTAAGTTAAATAAGTAGAAATAAAAGAGGTGTAATGTGTAAATTAGTGAGCCTCAAAGGAGCTGGTACATTTGGACATGACCAGAGTAGCTGTTCCTTCTATTTCCATATCTTCTGC